ATGCTATTAAGTAGTAAAGAGACTATAAAAGATATTTAACAAGTATTTACTAATAACATAAGCAGAATTTGTTACAAATTGTTATGAATTATTATTTTATTTGGAAAATATTATTAAAAGTGTAAATATTTATTTGTTTATTTAAATTTTATTTAATTCATTAAATTTAATATATCTTATTACATAAATATTAAAAACTTTGTCGATATCAAACTATTCATAACATTCCTTTAAAAAATTTTTTAATAAAACAAAAAGATAATAATTATCAAATTAGTTTTTTCTTTCTTTATCATTTTTAAAAATAAAATTCCATTCTTGTTTAAGATTTATTTATTATCTTCTTTTAGTCTTAAGTACTAGTAATAAGTTTCAAAAAAAAATTTCTTGCACTAGGTATTTAAAACATTTTCATGAGTCGAATAATTTTTTCCTAAATCGAATGAAAGTAAAATAAATTTCACAAGAAATTAGTTGGGATTACAAGATTAAATTCGAATTATCCCAGTCAACTAAAGTTGAGCCTATTAGATAAGGTTTTAAGATTATATTGTTATTAATAATTTAAAAATGCAATAAATACTATAACCCGTAGAATATTAACCTGCATAGTCATCCGACAACGTTTCAAGTACTTTCTCGTAATTAGGGGCGTTAGTTGGTTGTGATAAATTAGAAAAATTCAAAAGTCTGCTAGTGTAAATAGCATTCGGGTGCGTTTTGTAATTAAGTCCCGAAGATTTACTAGTTAATGATTCTTTTAAAACTTCACTTTCGTAATCTTTAACTTGTTCCTTAAAATCTGAAGGTTCATCACTTTCGATCAATTTAATCCATTTGTGTAAAGTAATGTATATATCCATAGCTTTGGGTCTATTCGATGACCTCGCGTCCCAACATTGCATTATTAATCTAACTAAAAATTCATTCGTCTTGAATGGAATTTTTGGAAGTAAGCCTTGACTGATTTGTATAGCAAGATCTTAATCATGAGGAATATTATAGTATGGAGGAAGTCCTGTGATAATTTCATATGCTACGATTCCAAACGAATAAATATCTGCTGCTGGTGTGTAAGGATGACCACACAAGACTTCGGGTGCAATGTATGGAAGAACTCCATAAATTTCTTGACGAGTCAAGGTTTTTTTTTCTGAAAATATTTTACAAAGGCCTAGATCTGATATTCTCAGAAATAAACGATCATCGTACAAAAGATTTCCGGGATGAAAGTCTCTATGGACTAGTTTCTTTTCGTGCATATTTCTCAGACCAAATAAAATATCTTTTAATGACTCTAGTTTTAATTTCAAATCCATATTGTAAAAATTTTGGTCTAAATATTTCCTGAGACTGCCATTTTCTTAGAAATCAAAAACCATCATATAACATAATGACTCGGGTTGTTGCGTAACCACAAAACACCTAACGACATAATCGGTGATACCCCACAAAATAGAATGTTTCTCGATACAAGCGCCGGTTTCAGATCTATTTTTACCTTCCTTTTCTTCTCGCGATCCCGGGTCGATCGTCGGTCACGTGACCTAATCTAAAATTTTAAATTAATTATATCAACAATAAAACTATAGTTAAACGAAGTTTAATATTCTTTACCTCATTTATAAGATCGTCAACTGGGCTAAGCTTATCCAAGCTTTTTAATCTAACTCATTTCTTATTGAGAACATCCCATTTATCACCGGTGAACTTTATCTAAAATGCCAAACCTTTTCAAAAGACTCCTCCAGAAAGGTATTGAGTCTTTTCTCAACTGTAGTGTAAAGTATTGACTGTTTTCACGTTCACAACTGTATATCAATAGTCTAAAGCGTAAAGTCCTGATTCTGGCTTGCAAGAGTGGTACCTTCGGATGTTTAGACGTACAACATCTTCTCCTGGCCTTTCAAAACCCTACCATCGCGACCATTGTCCTCATGCATTAAGAAAAAGGATGCCAGCCCTTGTGTTTCAGTGGAATGATGTAGGATTTAATGACAACCCGGCTGTGGCGAACTGCCGAAATGGAGTTGCAGATCAAACGAAAATGGCTTTCATTGCAACTCTCGTGACAAATGGTACTGTCAATTGGAATAACACCGTTTTCACATTTCAAAATGGCACAGCCATTGGTGCATGGGTACGAACAATTCCTCCGTGGCATGTAACATTTATTTAATGTGTTTTGGATTCTTTATAGTATCAGCTTATCCTGTCACATATCACTTTATTTGCCAAAGGGCCTACTATCAGATGATTGCTTCTGACATCTGTCATTCTGTTATCAGAATCACAAAGATAAATCGTCAAATAGATATTGAAGATTTCGGTCGTATTCTCGACAGATAAACGTCAATTATCTATATTTTTCACCTGTGGAATACTAAATTACTTTTTCATATATACTCCTGATTCAAAAAAAAAATGTTCGATTGAATATATATGGGTAATTATTTTTGAAAGCAAAAAAAATTCTAGATATTCACTATTTTTTAATAATACGTATATAATACAAACATTATGACTACAATTCTAGGGTTCGAAAAATCCCTGTCCGTCTTCGAAAACAATTACCTAACAATTACCCATATGCTTAATTAACTCTCTTTCTCAATAATTGCTGTTCCATCTGATGGTTGAATGTTTCATAATTTTGATTGGTTTTCTTCAAAGTAAAGCCTATCACCAAATCATTACCTACTAAGACGAGCCGACGTGCATTCATCCCAGCATTTAATAAATTCAATTCTTATTATTGAGATTTGTTTCTTTCAAAAGTTATATAAAAAATAATAATATGTACACTATATTCCATAGCATTGCTAATTAATATTTCTATTGGATCTAAATACGAACTTCATTAACATTGAAGAAAAAAAAATTATAAAATTCGAATTAGCCAAATAAAGATCACGCAACCAAAATTTCGAACATAATTTTATTTAATGAATAGGTCAATAAATTCTGAGTATGATATAATACATAAATAGATAATAAATAAAGAAATAATATAAACGACACCAAAGTAATAACGAGAAATACTAAGGGACCACAAAACACTGTCGCTTAAGCTTGATCTCATCTCTACCCTCTAAAAATATTTTTACCTTAATCATATGATAAACCTTAATTTTACTGCGCTTTGAAAAATCGTAGAGCATTGGATTTGATGAAGGTATCAAGAATAAGGATTCTTTGACTTTGGAACCAACCTCAGTACAGGTCCCTGCTGTTCTTTGGTTTAACTTAATGAACGTACTACCGTCGATTATATTTCTTACAATATAACGTTTCTGGAAGGGTGCATTGGGTAACGAATAGTATTCTTTTATACCGACTATTAATCGGTTCACTTGTGCTCTTGGAGTGATCACTATGAGGCCATAGTTTGTATTTGGTGAAAAGTGATTATCCAAGAAAACTCTGTACAAATCCGTTGACCAAGATGAATTTATAACTTTTTTTGGCAAATCATGTAAGTACATTGGTACCAAAACGGACGCATCCTCTTTTCCGTCTAGCATGGCGATTAATTCAAACTCCATCATTCTTTGGTTAGGTGCAATTTTTATGCTTTTGAGGATTTCCGGAGGAATGACGATGGTGAAGGGTAAGTTTTTCTTCACATTAGAATTTGGAGGAATGTCGAGGTTGATGGTAAAAAGTTCCATCTTAGACTTCCAAAATGAGAGAACTCTACTTTTCTTAAACTTGTTATGTCGGACTTTAATACCAATTGTTTTTACATTTTTCTGTGTATTTGTGGGAAGTTGAACGGACAGGGTGCCCTTTATGTTGCAGTTTTTGGCACCAAGCTCACCGGACTGAAAGCCATTATTATGGTAAGAAAAACTGCAATTATTAACAGATTCTTTTGGGCCAGTAGTGGTAGTTGTAGTTGTATTCGGTGGGTGGACGGGACGAGGAGGCGTCCTGGTATTAGTGGCAGTTGTAGTCGGTGGGTGAACGGGACGAGGAGGCGTCCTGGTATTGGTGGCAGTTGTAGTCGGTGGGTGGACGGGACGAGGAGGCGTCCTGGTATTAGTGGCAGTTGTAGTCGGTGGATAAGGTGTATCAGGAGCAGGTTTGACAACTGTTACAATTGTTGTATTCCTAGGTAAGTTAGCTTTTAGCTCTGCCAAACATTTCAGGCATTCTCTTCTATCAATTCGTTCATTACATCTTTCGCATACATAATAATATTTATATATTACTCTTGTCATTTTTAGAACAAGAGAAACAAAATTTTAAAAGACATCTTTAAAAGATAATAGATCCTCATATAGTATAGAGAGAGTACAGAGGGAGTACAGAGAGTACAGAGAGAGTACAGGGAGTAGAGAGAGAGTACAGAGAGAGGGTATGTACGTTTATCACGGGATTTGCTTACATTAATATCTCCAGACTGGTCGCAAAATAGAGGACCGAGGATCCACAGGACCGATCCAACCCTATTGATAAAACCTGTGATAAATGTATTACGGATAATGGCATCACGAAATAAATTAGGTCATAGAACTTTTCGCGCATGATGTAATCGTGTGACCTGCTGATTGTTACTAACTCGTGGCATACGTATTTTCTTTGTAAAAAGTTTTTTCGCTGTGCATTGCACCGCTCCAGTTCCACATTCCCTGAATCTACTATTCCCAATGAGACCAGAAATGAGCGGAGGAAACGTTTACAAGGACGGCATAATTACGTTATGGTTGTTCGTCCATTCTTTTTACCTACGTTTTCGATTTATTAATAATGGACATGTCTACCTCAACATTCTGTGAGAGGAGATTTGCATCATCACATGGACTGGTGTCATGACGATCCCAAA